AATATAGTCAAGTGACAAATGGCAAGATGGGTCAGTAGGTATAGACTTTTACAGCCAAGCCTGATGGACCAAGTTCAGTACGCAGCACTCATATATTCATATGGTGAAAGAACAGACCCAACTTTCCCAAGTTGTTCTCTGACCTGAAAAACATGTTTGTCACTACATCACTACAAGCTTGATCTCTCTCTCTCTCTCTCTCTCTCTCTCTCTCTCTCTCTCTCTCTCTCTCTCATACACACACACACACACAAATACATAAATATAATAAATAAATGTGGTATGATTTTTTTAATATTTGGATAAAGTATTAATGTGTTTTGTGTATGCATTATTTCCGCTTAATGTAAAAATACTATACTACCTGGGGCAGAATGAATAAAAATGAAAGATACATATGTAGCAACATTGTAAACATAATCCTATATTCAAGTAATTAAACATTTCAGTGGGTACATTTGCAAGAAGATGAAAATATTTCTAAAAGTTTCTATTGGAGGAAAACTAGGGAAGAAATAACCACATGAATTGCAGAATAGTGTATCTATCCTCAAAGATGCTAATTCAGGTCCAGGGGGATCTAATCAACCTCTTTGTTGAAGGAAAGATAAAACTTTTTGACAGCAAATGCTATTCTGATAAAATGGAATTTTCAATTACTCTATGAACATCTGGCCCATGCTACAATTTCTGGAATCCAGCAGCACATTGCTTTGCAATGTCACAAAATATTCTCCACTGAGAACTCCTTGTTTTGCCAAGAGATTAATTGAAATGAGTGTTTGAAAATGTAGTGAGGTGAGAGGTAAGTCTGGGGATAGATAAGGAGATAAAGCTGTTCAGTCACTGAATGATAATTTACTTAAAAGGCTAAAGAAAATGAAATTCCATACTGGTGATAGAGTGTTGAGGGTACAAACATCTTAATACACTTGTGGTTGACATTAATCTGTGCATGGGGTGAAGACTATGGAACATTTTCATGACAATTTTGTAGTAGTAATCACATTAGGTGCACACCAACTTCTTCTGATTCATGTTTTACACGCAAATATGTTGAGCGATATTTAGGTGATAATCTTAATAAATAAACAAATTAAGTAAAATGCAGAAGAACTTTTAACACTTTCCAAAATAAAGCACTGATTGTCTTGCATTTGAGTGTGTTTGGATGTGAAAAATAGATCAACATCACTGTAAATTTCTGTGCATTGCTTCTATTTGGTACCAATTAGCATGGGAAGGAAACCAACTCAGTGTTGTAGCAAACTCCAAACTAGGTGCATATTAGAGCAATTACAGTCATCTTTTCAGTAGATGAATTTATAATCAATGATTAAAATCATAAGGAATGAAATTGAGTGTGATCTGAAACAAATTACTTGGGCTTGGAACTAGTGTGCAGTTCTGCGCTATGATCCCCATAAACTTCAGTTTCATACTCATATTACACAGTTAAGCATAATGCAATAGCCACAGCACCATAAATGACCTTGCAAAAAAGGGGAGAGGGCAGCAAGAGGTCTACTAACCCCAGCACTACTCTCAGAGAAACATTGACTACAGAAAGATTCAGTCTGGTAATGCTTTCAATTACGCAACAAAACCATGAGCCACTGACATCTTTCTTCACCCTACTTGTCAATTTCAGCCACTTAAGGAGTCAATATTCTTATCTTCTCAAGAAGGTGGTAAGTTCACTGAATAACATCAGATAGGGAAAGCACTGGTTAAGAGACGAGATTGTGACTCCCTAGCTCAGCATCAAATCACCTCATGAGCCAAGTCAGAAGATAAGCCTGCCTAACGTGACAACACTTAACTTGTTCTCAAGGTACTTTGAGGCCAATTGAGAGATAATATTCTAAGAAGGACGGTGTGTCAAGAGAAAGCACATGCTAAAAAATGTTCCATTATCTTCCTTTCTGGGAAGTCACAAGATCCACAGGACTGGGGACAAACCGAGATAAGCCATATTAATTCATGGACATGATGGATGACAAATAAATCTGGAATTCTGTAGCAACCGGGGAATTAAGCTCAGCAAGCTCACCCACCACCTGTCCTGTTTTCAAACTCATAAAGAGATGCCAGGGTTGAAAGTAAGGTAGACAGCAGAGGCTCTTAACATTCCTTTGTTGCTATTCTGACCCAGCTCACAAACATGTTTGTGGAAATATGTAATCAAAAACACAATCGGAACTCTCCAGTGACTAGGGTTTTGACCTTAAATATGAATGTCTTTTTAAAAGTCTCCTACCTTCATTGAACATAGTGATTCTGGGGTTTCTATGCATAGGAAGAGTTTCATAGAAAAGCTACTGAAAACTACGACATTTGGCCCTTTACTCAAGACAGAAAATCTCCCTGCCATTCACATTGAGAATTCTTATGCTGTAGCAAAGTTACAAAAATACTGAAGATACTTAGGGCAGTACAATGAAACCCAGGTCTCCAATGTCTCTTGAAAAGAATGAACCAAATATAATTTGTAGCTTTCTAAATATTGACAGTTCAATATGAACCCATATAACACGTCATTCCTACCTGCTCAAGGAAAAATTATAGATGCGTAGTCATTTTTAGTTTGATATTCCTGGGATTTCTCATCAAACACATGTTCCCACATGCACAGAAAAAGAGGCAATGCTAATGTTAAAAGTAGAAATGTCATAAGGAAGACCCAGTTATGACACCCAAAGTGAGTCTAACTCCCCAATACAGTGATGTTAAGGTAACCTTTACTGGTTACATTTGGTGTGATGTTGCAATGGTTCTCATAAACCAGAAAAAGTATCAGATTCAGAACTTTGCCTGGGAAGTTCAAAATCAGGCATGTTTGGGGAATTCACCCAGTGAGTGCCTTTCAACTACTGAGCCAGAGGATAAAAGAAGATGCCCTTCCATGACTGCAGGTTCAAGGCAACAAATGTTTAAAAATGGTAAATGGCTGGAAAAGCTGTGATGATGTTCAGAGAAATATAATCAACCCAAGTTAGCTGGTGACACGGTTCCTGTGGCAAGCCTGGAGATGATTTGGAATACCTCAGCTACATATCATTACAAAACCATCGGAAGTTGTGGGCTATCACAGGTAAAGACTGAGATGCAAACAAGAGTTTAATTCCTTTTGCCACTCAAACACAGGTCAAGGGTTGGCTCAAAGTTTAGTCATAATCAGAACAATAAAAAAGAAAAAAAGAAAAAAGAAAAGCATGTCAAACAAATACCAAAAACAAAATGTAAAGATGTTGTCAAAACGGTATACCAAGAAAAAAAATGTGTCTACAGGCACGGATGTGTGTGAAGTCATCACTTTGTTATGTAGGAGAGTCTTTGGATACTGTCACATATTTGTTTTCTAATATTCTTGCTATTATTCAATCTACACAGTACGTAATGCAACCCGTTTGTAAGAAACACTCAGAACATCTAGCTGCAACCCACTGATATTGTTTTCCTTGAGAAATGTGACAAAAAATTAAAACAGATTTTGGTCCAGCCAGGCATAAAGCGAGAATCAATTACGACTATTTTCTTTCCTGGAGTCATTTCATTTTGGAGAGCATCTAACAGAAAACCTTCCTGATCTCAACGAAGAGCGCATTTCTTTGAGATACACATGAGTAGGAAATGATACATATCTGTCTGCATCTTCTGAGAATTAAATTGCCTCTGTTTCAGCTATAAAAATGTTTAATTCTTTATCCTCAGTCATATAGGAAGATTTCCCAGAAAGTATATTATCTCTGCAGATGTCACCACTCTCCAATTAAGGAAAGAAGCAGGGTACAATTGGTAGTGACCTCTCTATATTATAGACTTTGACACTTGAGTCTCCTGAGGAGGGAATGGGATTAGACAATTTAATAGAATCTACAGTGGCTAATTTTTTCCATGAAAAAACATTTTGTTTTGTGAATCATGCATTTTTTGGATTCATTTAGAAAACCAAAACAAAAGAGTTTTTAATGATGTTTACAGTGAAATGAGACAGCTGACGACCAGCACGGAATTACCATATTTTGTTTTCTCATCTTTAAGACTTTTAGCAGTAGGACTTCCAGCTGAGCATGAGACTAGCTTTTCTCAAGACATAGCCAAGCATTCGGAAGCTTCACTGAGCCTAAACACCAAATTGAATTCATATTTCTTAATTGAGAAAGACAGGCTGTTTGCATACCATGTTTACATCAGTAAAATATTGAAAGTGACGTTTGTGCCCAAGTCTGTATGAACAATCTGCCTTAGCTGAACTCTGCTACTGTTTTCAGACCCTGGTTTCTGCCTATCACAGTTTTAAAGAGCACCTCTCTCTAAAAGTGCTTGTGCCTGGATTCATACAAGTAGATTCTCTTCCCACATGGGGATGTGGCTCCTGACATGTGCTTTGTGACTCACTCATCTCACAATAACAGAAGGCTTTGTATTGACTCAGTCACATTCTTTTCACCTGTCTCCCCTGTAACCAATGGCATGGGCTTCTGCAGTAGCTCCAAGGCTTTGGAATAGTAGTCCTGTAGGCAAAATGGAAAGTCTAGCATTTTCTATCCTCAGGAAAGACTACAAAATCCATGGGCAGAGGATAGTCTCTGGGAAAAGTTTGCTAGACTAGTAGAGAAATAAATCCCACCCCTCTGGTCTCATTAGAGTTGCATTCTATGCAATTTAATTGATCAGCTGAATCCATACACTATGGCATAAGTCATTTATTCCTGATGAGAAAGCATCTGCTTACTTCCTATGGGCTCAAAGCAGTTATTATTTAAAAACAATGTGGATTCAGTCACCTTATAAAATTCCCCAACATTACATAAGAAGGTAGACTTATCCTGATAGATGTTGTAACACCTCAAAACTCTCGATATGCTGTTAACACGTGAGCTAAGGGAATCCCTTCATAATAACATGTGCCCTGCAGTAAAGTAACACAATATGTCTAGAAAGATTCTTGGTTCTTTGGAACACATAGTTTCGACTTAACGTTGTCCATCCCTTACCATGGTCGGGCATCTGAGATCCCATGGAGGTCACACTGGTGTTCAGCACATCATTCAGAGCAGTATCACAGTACAGGCTCCTCTGGACATCATGCTCGCTGTCAGTCTGGTCACTCTCCTCATGGCCACTATCCTTCAGGCTGTTGCCCTCCAGGTCCTTGAAGGTGGAGCTGCTGGGTTGAAGAAAATATGTTAATTTACAACTGTGATAGATCTGATTTTTAAAATCTTTCCAGGCCAGGATGATGTCAGCTCTGTAAGGAGGCCAGCAGGAGCTAGAGTGTCCAAAAGGGAAAAAAATATGGAGAAGAGACATTTCTGTTTGAAGGTAATACAACTTAACAATACATAGAAGTTCTCAACATTGGATGTTGATACAGCTAATTATTTTCATTTGTTTCTTTTTAGTGTTACACAACAGACAAGGAGGCACAAGACAAAAATCTAAAAGCACTTTTAAGAATGTTAACATTGCAGTTTTTCTATTTCGATACAGTTAGAGTCAAATAGAAATAGCCAATGTTTTCTGAGAAATTACTGTTGATGAGTTACTATTTTAAGAGATCAACATTAACTTTTTAAGCCATTTATGCTGTACAAGGAAAAGGTGCTAATAATATTACTACTTGCAGATGAGATAACAGAGATATATAGAAGTTAAATAACTTGCCCAAGGTCGCACTGCTGGGGAAAAAAGTATAGCACATGTAAGATCAACCCTTGCTTGTCAAGTTTCAGTGCTTAAAATCTTAACTATTATGAAAATTGCTTCTCTAGAGATATCTAACAATCACCAACTATAAAAAGCAAAAATGGCAGAACTTGAAATAGTATAATTAAAATTAAAAGGATGATAAAGGTTGGAGAAACCAGGTCAGTTTCCTAGTTGTTTGATTGTTTGTTTTGTTTTTAAGACAGGGTCTCATTCTGTACATCAGGTTGACCTGGAACTTGATACATAGCCCACACTAGTCTTTGAACTTGGGATAAGCCCCTTCATCAGCCTCCTCCTGCATCCTGGGATTACAAACCTAAACTGCAATACCACATGTCTTCCTGCCAGTTCTGAGTAAAAATGGCAGAGGAACCAATTCAAAGAAAAGGATGACTGACAGCAGCTGAGAAAAACAGTTGGTACATGGAATGTGTTTGGGATAATTTTATGTGTCAACTTGACTGGACCAAGGGTAATCCAGGTAGCCAGTTAAGCCTTATTTTGGAATGGGTCTTTGAGTGGGTTAGCTGATTGAAGAACTGAATAAAGCATGGATCTTTTCCCAGTATTGGTGGGACTCATCCAATCCATTGAAGAAGACCTGAAAAGAACAATAGGCAAAATGTTGAATATTCTTTCTGCTTGAACTGGAACATCAATATTCTTCCATATTCAGTTCTCCTCATTTCCAGGCTTTCAGGCTCACACTGGGATCTCTACAACTGGGTCTCTAATTCTCAGGCTTTCAATTATACCATCATCTTCTCTGGCCTTCTAGCTTATTGGTGACAGAGCACAGAAATTCTGAATATTCAACAACTGCATGTATCAACATCTTAAACTGCATGAGTCAACATTCACAGCCCTGTCCCTCAGAGACATAAGAGCATTCACTACATATGGTAAAGAGCTATGCCATGAACACAAGGATACATTGCCACTCTGCACGTTTGTCCTAAAGGAAGCACACAGAAAATTAACACATGATCAACCTGGATGTTGAATCCTTGGTGGCATAAGCATAAAAAGTGAAAGCTCAAGAGAGCAGTAACTGGAATAACGGAATGAAGAATTTGGTGATGGGAAGCACTAGCCTGTTAGTTAACTACTTCAGAAAATATATCTGAGCATCAAAGTCACTAAAATCCAGTCACTCGACAGTCACGCAATTCCTTCCAATTATATCACAGAGATAACTCAGTCCTATCTACCTACCAGAATGCAGATCTATTTAAGAAAGTTCTACAGTTCTTTCGTGATCAAAAAGACCAATTGGAAACTTGTTATTTAAAAGTGTCTCACCATTTCCACCTTCATGGCACAGACTCTGTGGCTTCCTGTATATACTAATTCAAAGTTTAAATAGATTCAAAGTTTATATTTTAGAAACAAAAATTGGCCCTGCCTACAAGCACTCATATACCTCAAGAGAGAACAAATGACCTGCCTAGATGATATTACAGGCTGTTCCATTCTATAACAAATATTAGCTTTTCAACCTATATCATCTGGTTTTGAAACATAATGAAAAGTTCTTTAAATCCTCAGCACAAAAACTGCCATGTTAAGCCAAAGATCTCAAGTCTAAATTGAATGCATTTCAGCAGTTGCCAAAATTTGCTTGAGATATATGATGGCGAATGAAATAGTCTAAAGACAAATGTAATTGGCCATCCCTTAGAATAGAGCATCTTAATCTTGGCACTATTGAATTTTTAGGTCACATAATTCTTGGTTGTGTACGTTCTGTGCATTATGAGATGTTTAATGGGCCTATTGGCCTTTGCCCATTAGATGCCACTGATGACCACCACCAAGTTTAACAGTGAAAAATCTCCTCAGGGAGACACTGCCAAATCACCCTCAGAACAACTGTGATATATTTTTTTTCTCCAGTATTCTTGTAATATAGTGTGCAAGAGAAAGCACTGAACTTGGAGTCATTAGGGCAAGTAATAACCCAAAATCTGCCATTTTGTTTCTATGTCTCTGGGCTCCATATCTAATCCTCACAAGATCATTCTGAGGACTCATTGAAATACTTTGCACAAAGATCCAGATAGAAATAGATGTTCAATGAAACTATCCTTATTTAATATGATCATTATTCTGTATTATAATGTCTCATTCACATTACAATTAAACAGTATGGCTATGATAATTTGTGAGATTGCTATAAGAATTTTATATTTATTTAATGAATGTTCCTGTCTTCATGTAAACAACTGTCAGCCATTGTCCATTGTTCTATTTCTCCTAAAATCAGGAACAGAGAACTATCTCTCCTGTCAAATATGTATACCTTGCTTTATTGAATGATAAAATATGTGACCTTATACACTTTTTTTTTGGTTTTTCGAGACAGGGTTTGTCTGTAGCGTTGGTGCCTGTCCTGGAACTAGTTCTTGAGAACCAGGCTGGCCTCGAACTCCCAGAGATCCACCTGCCTCTGCCTCCCGAGTGCTGGGATTAAAGGTGTGCGCCACCACCGCCTGGTTTTATACACGTTTTTGACTTCTCAAAATCTTCAAGCTAAACATAATGTTTAATTGTTTAATTATCTTATCTCTCTGGAAGCTGGTAATCTCTATCTCGCTTCTCCTAATTGGTTTGAGATCTGACTTTCAAAATTTGGTCATCTATTTTATATGCATCAGAATACTGCAATATACCTCGGGGCTTTCAGGTATTTTGTTTGATTGTTTTTTGTTTGTTTGATTCAGGTTTCAAAAAGCATAAATATTAAAACTGTGAAGGATTAGCTACTAAGATCTAAGGAACTGCTGATGTGAGCAAGAGAAGAAAAATGAAAGGTATGGCCACCACCTTCTCATACCTCAGGACAGTTAACTCAGTTAAAGATCAGTTTGCCCATCTGACAAACAAAGTACCGATTACTGTGATCTTGTAAGGACATTTAGTAGCTTAATGGATGAATTTGTGTAAGGCAGTTTAAGAACCAGTGAGCAACATGCTGCAAACAGTAAAACAGCCTGGTAAATGGCTACTCACCCAAAACAAATAACAATTTATGCCAGGCATAAAAAAACGCTGATTTCACTAGCTTTATTACCTGTGTACCTCTTGGGAGATGAGAGACTTGTAAAACAATTTTTGTGGGACAATAAATTAGGGGCGTCTGTTTCCAATGGTATTGTAAATGCAGACGTTTCTATTACTGCTCTGGTGGCCAGCAGAGGTACAAGTTTATTTGAAAACACCTAGAACAGGGTTCTATACACAAGGTTTTGTCTACATAGGCTAGAAAAAATATTACACTAATACTAATACTATGTGTGCCCTTTAAAATAATAATTTTGCAAAAGATAGATGAATCTGAAAAGATGCAGGTCATATCTCCAATAGCCTATCCCACGTATTTAAAGAATGTCATTTGCAATTAAGAAGAGAAAGTCAAAAGAGTATTGTAACTGGCTTTTAAAAATATAATCCAGAGTGTTTTCTGGACCACCTCTGTCATAAATCACCTTGAAACCTGTTAAATTTGAAACTTCTCTGAAGCTGGAGTTAAGAACTGCCTTTATCAATGTATAGTATTGTTCAGAAATTGTTGCTTTCAAAGAAAGTTTACTGCTGTTTTTATTTAAGTGGGAAAATTAGGATGTTTCCTTCCTTTCCTTACTCATGGTTATCTGAAAAAGATGTACCAAATACTTACTATATACATGGCACCACAGCAGATGCTACAGAACTCCGGGACAGTTTTGTTGGTAAGGAAAACCCCCATGCATAGCTTAGAAACCAGGGCTCATTTTCCTCTCTAAACTGTTTCTGATGTGTTGCTCAATTGCTATTGTGTTTTCTTTGAGCTACAGCCTCGTGTTCTCCTTGGTATGGCTCCAAAAGCACCACAGGAGTAGATATTAGCCGGCAGTGCAGAGAGCAAGATTGAGAAAAGAATGTTGCAGCCGGGGTAAAGTAGCACTGCTGGCCTTTCTTACTTTGAGACGATAGCAAGGATACAAACATAGTGGGAATAAAAATTACACTCTGAAAAAAAAATCCCAACTTATTTTGCTAAGCTGGGCTTCTCTCAGAAACTACCTTGGGTATATCTTAAGACTGCATTTAATGTTATAGAAAATACTTCAGAGCTATAATGTTGGAATTCCTCCATACAGAAAATTGTGGGGAATATGCCATAGACCTTCTTTGTCCCTTCCAGATGCAGTCCTCATGCTTTTCAATTTTGATTCATGTCTATAAAACCTTGTTCCCCTTTGGAGTTATATTGAGATTACCCCTGTGGTTGCCAGTAACAGAATATAAAACAATAGAAGATGGATATTAAGGTACTGACTGTCCTATGAAATCACTTCATCATGACCACAGCCCTCAAATGACCAGAAGTCATTCTTACTCCTCCCATGTTTCTCTTGATAAGTTGTTTCAGTAGTATTTTCAACTCTTTTGTTCTTATACCAGAAAAATGAAATACATTTTCCCCATCTTTTTACAGTTTCTTATAGAAATTCTGACTGCTGCAAGAAAGGGCCAGAGATGACCAGTGCTCAACTCCCAAATGTAGACAGCTGAAAAAAAATAAAGTGTCTGTGTGTAAGAGTCAGGCAAAGAAAGTTCAAAACAACATTCCAGGAAATGTCCGTGGATAATTAGAAATTGAATGTCAAGTGAGAAAAATGTATAGGAAACAAATCAAAGCTCAGTTAGGCTGAGCTTTGCCTGACATTTAAAAAAAATCAGAGATTTGCTAATAAAATTAAGACTGATGACAAGATTCAGAATTTCCTGTCCATAAGTTTTTTTTTTTCAAACATGAGTCTTGAAGAAAACATATACACCTCTTAAACATCTTGGGGAGCCAGCTGATCACTCTTCCCTCATGGGGGATCGGTGCTGTGTTAGTCACCCCTGTCATCTCCTACCAATTTTACACTCTCAATGGCTATCCTCTCGAAAAGGATAACACACAAAACAGCCTGTATCTTTCTAGGGATTGGCATTTTTTTAAATGCAACTGTCCCTATAAATTCTAAGGCCTTAAAGGTGTCCCCAAACCGCCACAGTTCTATAAAAAGAAACTGACAAAACTGTGTGTGTTTCCCAAGCTTTCAGATGGTTCCTCTTAATCAGGTGATTTTTGGTAAATAAACCTTTTGATTTCAGGTCACATCTGGAGATATTTCCTCCAAGAGCTCACTCAGTTCAGGATGTAGCTTTTGTGCGCATGTGTGTATAAAAAATACATGTAAAGTAATTAATCAAAATCACAGGTGTCCAGTGAGTCTCAAAGCTGTCGTGGAAATACATGTATCCCCAAAGCTAAACGCTTTAACATAAGTCTTTATCTTATAAGTCTGCCTTGGAAGTTGGATATTTGAAGCTGATCTAAGATGTGCAGGTCCCCAGGAGTCTCAGCCTTCTACTAGGCTATGAAAATCAGGCTCATGATATCAGTTTAACCTAGTCAGAGAATTTCCAAGTACCCAGAACGAGCTAGCTCCAGAGACTTGTAAAGATCAAGCAAGCCACTGTTTTTACCAGTTCAAAAAGAAGCTCTGAAAATAACAGTCCTGAAGCAGAAAACAAAGCAGTATTTTCCCGCAAAGCGCCTCTAATCAGTACATATAAAGAGGCTTTTCCTTTCTTCCTAAAATAAATAACTTAGATAATTTTCAATTTTTTGCCTTTTGTTTAGAGCATTCTTCTCCACAACTCAAAAATTTTCTAAATTATTCTATGACTGATAATACAAGGATAGCCATTTTTAAGATAACTAATGATCATCACTTAAGGTTACAAGCTATCCCTAGCCAATATAGATGAATCTACCATAGTTTTGGGGGTTACTGCAGCATCGTAGATTAAATTAGATGTGAATTCAAGTTTCTTATACTTCAAATAAGGATTTTGTTTTTGCTTTGAATCCCACTCTTACAGTGATATAAATTTATGGGATTACAGCCAGCAAAATAATAGAATTTTCAGATCTTTTCCACTACAGCTCTAATGCAGCCCGTTTGCTCCTCTGCTTTATTGCTATTATTTTAACAAACATACCTAGTGTTCAATTTTAACGCAGAATAACTACTGGACCATTCAAGAGGCTAGTTACATGAAACAACAATAAAGGCATCATCGGAATGGTCAGCTTCTGGGATACTTTTGCACACAACGTTCTCTCCTTTGCTTAGTTTTACCTCCAGTGAAGCTTTTATCTTCCTCCCAATACCAAGAATTTAGGGTTCGCCATAGCAGGTGGAATCTTTCAATACTGGCTTCTGCTTTGTATTCAAACTACAGCTAAGTTGTAAGTAACCAATCATACAAATTTCAGATTTCCACCAAAACATTTCAAAATGCTTTGACAAGTATTAAATTGGAAATTTTTCTTTTCCTCCCTCATCTAGGGAGTATTATAAAAGATATTTAATCTGTCATTTAAATGTCTTTAAATTTTCAAAACTGTCAAAATAACAACAACCTCAGAACATACCACAAGCTCCACAAGAGAACAAAAGTTGAGGCTTCCTAATATTTAAACTGAGTGGCAACAAAAGTTTGGATATCAGTACGATTTTAAAAGTTTTCTAATTTTTCTAATCTTTCTAATATTGACTCCAAAAATCACCAGTAAAATATTTTATGCTATCCCAATTTTATTTTTATTTTTGCATATGTTTTGGTGAAAATAAATATTGATTCTCTTTGTGTGGGAGAATTAGCAGTGATCCTTACTTTCTATGCTTTCTCTATATTTCCCACACTTCCTAGCACAAGCACATAGCACTCACAGTCAAAATGGTATCATTTCTAAAAATTAATGGTTTGGGTTATTTTTCATATTAAATCAAGCTAAGCAGTAGGACTTTGAAAACAAACCAACATACCTTTTGATCAAATGGGCACGGCTGTTCACGTAGTTAGAGTCAAAGGAATAGTTTTCAGTCTGCAATGAGAAAGAAAAAGATTAAAAAATGATTCACAATAAGAATACAAATGTTCTACTTAAAAGGATTATTTTACAGTGCAAAGCAGTAATGGGACAGCAGTTTGATGAATGCCTTCTTTGGGGCCTCCAAGGGCCCTCCAAAGGCAGCATCTTACTCCTGAAGGCCAGGGTGGAATTGATACAAACATTCTCTAGAATATGGCTGGCTACTGACCATGTAACCACTTAGAGACAAGAGACAGTATGACTCACAATCGCTACAGAAACTAATTGCTCCCAATTCCCCAGCAGAGACCATTTTATGCCCACCAAATTGACTATAAGTTCAAAGGTATTTTTATTAGAAGTAGATAATTAACATGTTAAAATATTTATTCCAAAGATATGGAAATGTGGCAAGGTAATCCCCTACTGTGGGTTTAAACGCTGCACTTCCCTTTGTTTTAAGACTTTTGCTCAGCATCAGTTACACAAGATGGCTTTCATTTTATCACAGATATAAAGGCAAACAAGTATTATGCCCAAAACCGGGTAAAAAGCAGTCCACACGGGGTAACAAAGCCTTTCATGTGTAGCATGAAGTTTGCAAGCAAACCCCTGTCTCAGTTCCTATCATTAAATCTCTACTGTGTAATCTGGTTACAGTAGCTGGCTGGAGCAAGGGCTTTACAAAAGCAAGTGCAGGGTACCTGAAAGATGAAAGAGATAGGAAAACAGCTTTTGAGTACAGGGCATCTGGGCAGTTTGAAGGGGGGCAGTCTTAAAATGGATAGAAGCCAAGGACACATCTATACTAAAGTCAGTGTCCTAGAAAACATGATCATACACCAATGTTAAAAGCACAGCTCTTGTTGAACCTTTGTATGAACTCCAAATGCCCAAACACATCTCTTCCCTCATCCTGCCATTCAGCTATTCCACCATTCTTTAGCGGCCTTCTGCAATCAGTTCAACTGGAAGTGCCTGGAAATGGAAATACAATAGCTGTCTAGAGAACAAAATAGCAGATTCTTTTCAGATGACTACCTGTCAGACATTGACTGCCCGAGGCTCTTAGATGCAATCCTGACATTCAAAGATTCACAGTTTGATAGAGGAGAAAATGAGGCAGGTAATAGCAGACCCAGCTACCACACTAAACAGCCAACAGTCAGGGGAAGGGACCTACATACCTAGAAAGTAAGCAGGAAGCTGGCACTAACTAGTTGGGAGGATAAAAGGAGAGAGAACTGAAAAGAAAACAAAACCCACCCGTGTCCAGTACTTACTCGCATATGTCCATGTTTCCACACAGCCCTCACTTGAAGATAGACTGGATAATGTCTATTTACACTGCTTCTTCTAAATGTTTAGATACCCTTTGGTGTAAATAAAATAACAAGTAACTTCTGATGATATTGGAAGAATAGTTCCAAAGGATAAAAAAATAAAATAAAAATAAAAATGGTCAGTCCATTTTTCTGTATTGATGTGTAAGTGAATGCTGAGATTGTGCAATAAGTAATTAGTGGAGATATGTGTTGGAAATATGACCTTAGTATTGCTATAATAACTTATTCAGAAGCCCCTTAACCAAGAAACATTCGATCTAACTTTTTTTTTACCAACACAATGGGCAAAATGGTGTTAAGTGTGGGTTGTTTTATTATATTCACTGCAAGACTCAATTTAACAAGTTGTCCCCTGCTAAAAATCATGGTACCCTATCAAAATAGGAGATGGACTGAGCACTCAGTGATCTACTTGTTTGTATCATTAAACAATCTTTGCTAAATTTAACTTAATTTTCTGTGCCTCAGTTTCCTCCTGTGCGAAGTACAATAGGAACATGAATTCAAAAGAGAAATTCAACAGCATTTATCAGTGTTCACGATGAGATTCCATGCCAACACTGATTTCTATGGAGCTTGACATCACAAGTAGAACCAGAAATTTACTTCATTCTCATAAAGAAACAAGTGCCTGGCCTGTTCAAACTTACTGAATCTTTACAAGAAACGTAGCACCAAAAAAAATTACATAGATACACAAAGCACTAGAAAAAAAAAAAAGAAAAGTAGAAGGTATTGATTGGGCTTGCAGAAATATCAGGAACACCATACCAAGTTACCATCACATTAAGAAAAACATATTTTCCAGAAGAATATTTTACATGTGTGTGCAGATGAAGGCATTTAAATCTCTGTGCATTGTGATGTTCTGACCTCCATACACCATGCAAGAACCACATGTTTGAAAAGAGAGGAATAATCATGCAAATGTTCACTCTGATGACTGTCTTATTTTTGAGTCCTTAGGGAATAATCTATCTTATCATAAGGTATTCCACTCTCTGTCAATGAGTTAGTACTAGAGAAGTCTAGAAGTCCTGGTCATAATGACCTTAACAATTCTTCCCACTCACCAAGGTTCACAAATTGGCTAATCATTGACAGATGTCACAGGTATGATATGACATTCAAGGTAGAAAAAATAACATTGAATTTTATCATCTTCCTCTATCTTCTCTCTTCTTCAAACTTAATGAGTAAGCTTCCCAGTCTTGTGAATTCTGAACTCCAAATGAGGATGTTCCATTATGCAAAGCAGCAGATGGACCATGCTGCATCCTCGTAAAACAGATTCTAGAATCAACTTTCTCAGAATGAAAGGAGCTATTCCACCTCTTTGCCTTTACAGCTAGGTTTCAGTCCCTAAAGAAGTAGCTTGGTTGCAATTACAGGAACAATCTATGCAACAGAATCATTCACACGTGAACAGAATCCACTATTCTGCCTTGAGCACTACATTCAGAACAACTGAGTTAACTGGCCATGCAGGCCTATTATGTTACGTATCTACATTTATTAGCATCAAGAATTCTAGATCAGTCTAAGGAGACGTCTTAGTATACTGCACAAGCATGAAGACAGGACTCTAAATGCCCTGGGCCCACATAAAAGCCAATCATGAGCCTGGCAGCCCACCTGTAATCCTTTGGGAAGCAGAAACTGAGAATAACCAGATCATGCTAACTAGCCAGACTAGCTGAAACCACGAGTTCCAGATACAGTGGAGCATGTCTCAATGCATAATAAGGTAAAGAGTGTCTAAGAAAAGTACTTGACATCAACTTCAGGTCTATATGCACGTGCAAATCTACCGCACACACATATATCAGTACGAAAGACATTCTGTCTCAGACTGAGTCCAGGTGTGTACTCAAATCCAATTCTTGTGCACTGAAAGAATGGATTTTTCCTCATCTTGTGAAGAGTGATACCTCGAGCATCCTGAGAAACCCATCTTGTCTTGATGAACTGGAACAGCTTGCACATCTCAAATGAGTGTTTCACAGCCCAAGTGCATATCAGAATCATGTCAGGAACGTTTTAGAAAGTACCATCTACCAAAAATGCTGCGCTAATTGGCCTGGAATCCATGCTACTTTTAAAGTTTCCATGGTAAGGTGGATATACCTCCATGGTTGTCAGGAGCCATTTCCCCTCTAAGAATCATTACAGGAATCACCCTGGGGAGTCTGCAGAGAACCTCACACCCATAATTATGTTCTATTGAGAAAACCTGCCCCTCACCCAATTAACTGTTAATCTGTTAGCAGAACCCACCTCACATTCCAGCTATCCAGGGAACTAGGTGTGGCAACTTGTGACTCTTGGCCTACCTGACCGGCCTACCTGACCAAGCTACGTGACTGGGACCACGCGGCGAGATCCCATGCCCTGCCCCCCATTCCTTACCCTATATAAGCAGCAACCATGACCCTAATAAACGGAGGCTTTGACAAATCTGCTTGGCCTCCTTCTTCTGTCTTAGCTCATTCCCTTCCAGGTAGCACCCCTCCGTGACCCTGGAATAACTGATTGCAGGGTGGGTTACACATGGTGAAGTTCAAATGGCATAAACAAAGAACTAGTTACAGGCTTTGGCTAAATGCCCCATGTTTGCTCATTGTCGCGCCCGCCTCGAGCCTCGACCAGCAAGGAAGACGCAACACCGGAGCTCTTCTTGCAGGCGTTTATTCCAGGACCTTGTTCTCAGCAAGTGCTCTCTCTCTCTCTCTCTCTCTCTCTCTCTCTCTCTCTCTCTCTCTCTCTCTCTCGGCAAACCTCTCCCAGCCCTTAAGTAGGCATGGGCCACCAACCCCGGATTGCCAGGTGGGCACTGCCCATAGGTCCACGCATATGCAAGCAGCTAACAATCATTGCGTGATAATAGCATGAGTCAGGGTCTCAGCCATAATAGGACTTGATTATCACAGAGAGCACTCGCTTTCGGGATTGCGGAGGGCAGAAGCCAGCACCATTAGGTGCGGCTCCATGCAGCTCTCTACATCGCCATCAGGTGTGGCTCCACGCAGCTCTCTACAGCTCTTACAAGCTGATTGTCATATTGTGCTATCAGTTGATCATATGATAGCACTTCTGAAGTTTATCAGTCAAGGTGATCTCAATGTAGGACAAAGAACCATAGAAGGAAGGAACAGACTTTTCAAGAAATAATAACAGAATTTTGCTTTTGTGTGTAAATAAAGCTCCTGGTTGGTCTTTTTTAATCAAAATTTGCTTGACATTATTCCAGTCTCATCTCTAGGTATTCTAAATGGCACGTAACATGAAACATTTGAAAGAGAAATTTTTCTCTAAATGTCACATTAATCTCACTAGGAAATGTCCCCATCTAATGAGACAGCCAGGTTAACACAGAAACACAGCAAGAGACAAGAACAACATTTGTTTCTGAAAACGTAATTTTGACATTAAAATTGGGTCAAAAGCAAACTTTAATTTCTAGTCTTGATGGGGAATATGTCACTTTCAAAATCACCCAATACTCTCACAAATTCTTTTTCTAACTAGAAGCATTTTTCCCTTAGAAATTCACCAAGAGGAGACTTCTTGGTCTTGAGTTAGTAAAACTTGTTTTTTCTACAGCTCTTAAAAAAATGAATATTTCTATATAGCTGGGATGTCCAGAGGTTAGAGATTTTCCCCTTT